GTGTGTGTTGGAATGCATGCTTGCTACAAGGCAGCAAACTTTTACCTACTAAAGCTCAATGTTTTCTTTACTTTCTTTGCCCATAAAGTGAGAGAAAAGCAGATAAGCATAGCAAACCGCACACCTGTGGCAACTGGTTTTTGCCGCCGTAACTACAGTAAAAGCCACAACCTCTTCAGCACCACTTCAACTGTCAATGTTAATGATTTACTACGTTTTTTTTTGTGTGCTGCCTCACCGCAGTCGCAAGCATTCTGTTGGGAGCTGAAGTATGCAAAAATGTCGGCTGAAAAAGGCGATTAAGGGAGTGTGAGCGTAAAGTTTTTCCCAGCTACCAAGCGCATGAATTACACATTAGCAAAAGCTTTAGCGCAAACCGTTGGCCAGGAAGCAGACAGTCAGGCAGGCAGGCAGCCAATGATATGTACATGCTTGCAGGGACTGGAAACAAAAAATCTAGTAACGCACTTTGCCCTAAAGGGATCTTGTTGGGCAGCACGTAGGCACACTGTAGCGCATGTTATCGTAAATATGGCTGTGTGCCGTTCCGTGCCGTGCCGGTGTGTTTAAATCGATGTGTGCGTGCAGAGTAATTGAACATGTCACACGAGCAATCTTATCAGTATTTTAGGCATTTGCGTACCTAAGCGCCAAAGTGCTATTTTGCGGCATAAGGTGGCAACCTTTCTCCTACCACAGCACACAGCATCCTTTCTATTTATCTTCATTTGCAGCATTGTGTGGTATCCAGTTGGCTATTATTTCACAACCTGCTTGCAAGAACTTTTTAAGCAACGCAACAGACATGCATACAACTCAATCTCCCCTTCCGCCATTAACCTTTCTCATTTGCCTTTTTGCCATTAAACGCCCACAAATGCTGATTCATTTCAATTGATATACCTTTATTTTGTTTTAAATATTTTTCTGTTGTTGTTGGAGGAAGCAAATCTAAAACAAAGCTTAAGGAACTTAACTGTGTGCGCGGTGCGGTGTGACGAGTTTGTCAGGTGTGTGGCAAGAGATATGAAACTAGCTTCGCGGCTTGAATTGGCGGGAAGTGTAAGTGTGGCTGTGGTTGGTCGGTCGGCGTAACGTATGTACGTGAATTCAAGTTTTTATGTTGAAAGTTTGACAATTCAAAAACTTTTGGAGGCACATCGCAAATAGCAATAAAAATGGAATAAACACAAGTATCTAAGTTTAATTTCTAGTGGAACTGTACGTTGAATACCCAATGCAAATCTTTGGTAGTTTTTAAAGTCCGCGTTGAGAAATTGGAACGGTTATTGCGGTCTCCCAGAAATCCTAGAAATTCGATTTGCTGATGGTGATCACCTCACGACAATCAATAACACATGTCCGAGTGTATTTCACAGTAGTTCAAAGCTGGCATTTACTGTTCATAATACACTGGAGCATTCATGCTCCACTCAATTTATTAATTTTTTTTTTTTTATGAGATCTTATAAAATTTGCAAGAGACCGGTTGAGCCCGATTTTTGAATTTTCATTTCCTTGTATTAATTTTTTTGTAGCAATTTTAAAGAAAATTGATTTACCTGCTCCAGTTTATAAATGCCATAATCAAAACTAGTTAAAAACAATTGTGGGGATCATCCAAAACGAAAAAATCCAAAAAAAAATTTAAATATAAAAAAAAATGTTTACCAAAATAAAATTTTTGTATTTTTTTAAAGAAGTTTTGGGTTATTATAAATCAACGCCACTTAAAACTTCCACTGCATACTCTTACATACAAATTTTTCTAAAAACTCAAATAAAAAATATTTTTAATTTTCGTGACATTTTTTTATAACATTTCAATTTCTTCTGTAATTTTTTTTTTCATTTTTGCTGAACCATATAATCCTTTTTAACTAGTTTTAATTATGTAGCATTTATTAGCTGAAACAAGAAAATCGATTGTCTTCAAAATTGCTATTTTGCCGCATTTTGCACTAAAAAATTGTATTTAAACATATAAGAATTCGAAAATCGGGTTAATTTTATTTAACAGCTTTCATTAAATTAATCAAATTGGTTGAAAAATGTGAAATATGAACATTAAATTCTAGTTTTTTACCATTGTGCATTTGTTGTTGAGACCCGACGCAAAACTGTGGGTTCTTAGCTTTGTGTGACAATATACTACACAAGAAGAGGTCTCATAAAAAATACTTAAAGGCCTACATATCCTATTCTCAGATCATAGTCGATCTTGGAAATCGAATCAAAAATAGTCATTCAAAAACTCATAAATCTACAAAATCGTATTTTCTGACCTAAATCGACAGGTCGCGACCTCTAAATGACCTTTAAAAATTTATAAAAATAGGCAGGAATATTTCTCATAAAAACGAATAAAATTAGGGGGCAGGGTCTTGAAATTTCAAAAAAAAAAAAACATTTTCTATGGACACCCTAATTAAAAAATTTCAATAACTAGAAAAATGTTGAATTTCTGATACGGCGTACAAGGGAATCTGTTATGGCAAAAAATTCCTAGTGAAAATCTTAGCTCTTCATACGACTCGAAATTCTTAATTAATAAATGTGTAAACTCGAACATAGTAAATACTGTTGTACTATAATGAGACCTCTTTGCCAATCATCCACTAAGCTAAATTCAATAAATATTTTCAACAGAAATGAAATCAGATTACTTATTTGTTACCTAACTGGCCACAACCGAATTTGTGCTCATTACGCCAACTGGGTTTATACTTCGAGACAGAATCGGACTTTATCTTGAGGACGACAAAATCATACAGTGGGTTTAAAAACATGACAACGACTTTACTGGCTTTAAGGTATTTTCGACGATTTTATTTTATGCCTTCTTTATTTTCACTGGCCCTAATTTTGCGCGTCACTTTGGCCTTGTTTTTCGTTTGTATTTATACGAGTAGTTCCATGTCGTTTTTCCTCTTTTACGCATTATCGCGAATTTCAAACTTTTACTGCCAATCACTTGTTTGACTTTTTTTTTACATGTGTTTTTAAGTAGTTGTGTCTCGTTATCGCTTTTTCGCTTCCTGTCAATGTGGCAGATTTAACTAGTAGGCGAACAAATTTCTGAAGTTTGTCATAAAACTAATTGAAGTCGTTTTTCGGTGATTTAAATTATGAGCGTATTCGTATTCTGCGCTTTCATTTAAATTTTTACTGTACTTTATTTCTGCAGAAACAGTTTGTGTACAAGCAAAAATATCTGTAATATTTTCAAAGTGTAGGCAATGTGAAGAGGCGTGTGGTGTTTATTAATTACGCAAAATTTTGGCTGCTGTTTGATGATTTGAAATTTGGGTTAAAAATATGACCGAACAACCCCGATTCGAAGTGCGGAAAGTGTTTGATTGATAGCACATGTGCGTGTGTTCCAATTGCATCTTTTGGCCTTTTCTACGTAAGATAGGCAGATATGATGTTTGATGATTTCTTAAATCACTAGCGGTATTCCAATATTTCTCTTGTTTTAAATTAAAAAAAAAAAAAAATTAATTTTTTAATAGGAACTCTTTGGCGTTAGAAAATACACTTGAATTTCCTTAAAGAATGAAAAGATTTTATAGTACTCAAAGCGCCAAAGTTTTTAATTTTCATATTTTTATTTGGTTTCGTAAAAATAAATTTTTCAAAATTTTGCCAAAAGTTTCTCAGTATTTTTAAAGGTCATAGGAAATTGAAGAGGTTGTCTAGATAGAAAATATAAGTATATGTAGCTTCAAGTTTGAATTTTTCTTAAACTTTCGAAAAAAGTAGTCACTTAGATTTTTACTCAAATAATTTTTGAAATTTAAGAAATAAAGTCGTTCGTAAATTTTCAAAAATAAGACCTTGTGAATTGAAAAAATTCGGATTTGTCGTAACTTTTTTAATATTTTTGAAGAAACTTGGTTATTTTTCGAAAAATTTTAGGCATTTATAAATATGCTAGCGTTATTTTGGGGACTTTTAAAAATAAAAAAAAATACAATTTTCTAATTTTTTTTAAATGGCGGAGTTTTATTTATATAATGATGAATATTAGAGTATTATTACTAAAAAACATTCTCGTTTGATTTAAAAAAGAGTAGCCTATATTAAAAAAAAAAAAATAAAAATTTATAAAAAATGTTTGAAAAAAAAGTTTTTTTAGATTCAAATTTTTGGGAGTAAGTGAAATGTTTTGAAATTGTTTTGTATTAAAAAAACTTTTAATTTTCATAAAATAAATCTATTTTAGAAAACTATTATTATCAATGCCTAAATACTCCCAATTCCAATGATATTCTCCTTACCCTTCAAAAAGGAAAAAAACAAATTTCGATTCACTTAAATGCTATCACTTCTTAAATCACATCAAATGCACTAAAGGGGTTAACTCAGCACGTTCATCTCCAGCTGGCTGGGCACAGATTTTCCTAATCCGCAGTAAATAGAATAAACTGAATTATTACTATACGAACAACAAATGCAACGCAGTGAATTTAAAACGCTACTCATCTGAGCGTTTGTTATCCAACAGTAAATCAGTGAGTTCGTTTGAGCGCACCTTGTGTGCCAGTTATTGTTGTTGTTATTATGGCAGTAGCATAAAATTTACTTAATTACCGTCGGGAACGCTTAGAGTGACCTTAAGGGAGCCCGACATCATCAGGTGGCGCGTGAATAGAGCGGAAAGAAAGTATACAGTGTGCCATACTTTACATATTTAATTCCAGGCGCTAAAAGTACCAAAGAGATGCAGAAATAGCGAAAATATTTGCCAGCAGTAAAAGTGTTGTGTGTGTTGTGTAATTTGAAATGTAAGCTCTTAGCGTTGGTTAGCGCGAGCCAAGCTATTGTTTAAGTTCAAAAATTAAATTATCTGAGGAAATAAGAGTATTTGAGTTTTCAGCAAATTCATTGTAAAATTCACTAATTTATATGCTGAGCTGTGTTCACTACACTTCGTTGTCTTCATTTCCGCTTCTATTCCGTAATACACAATACTTTCTCTTATCTTCTTTTTGCAGTTACAAGTCTTCGATGCCAACAAGGATGGACGTCTACAACTCTCCGAAATGGCCAAGTGAGTAAATATGTATTCATTTCGCTTTGTTTTGTATTTTGTTTAAGCGCTGTGCGAACATTTTGTTCAGTGTACTTAAAATGCATTTGTAGCGCTTCGTTGGGAATTGTAAAGTTTTTATTTCTGTCTGATTGTGTTGACATTGGCAGTTAAGAGTTTACTGGCGTAAGAAATTGCATTTTTGCTAATTGCTTGATTTTTCAAGCGACTGGTAAATGAGTTAAACTTTTTGGGGATTCTTTTATGATGCAACTGTTTATGGAATTAAAATGGCGAGGGTGCTTATTGTGGCCGTTTCGACCACTATATTTTTTATGAATTCAAAAAGCACGCTTTTTCGGAGCTAACACCAATGAAGCTTGTAGAAAAGAGAGCTCAGAATACTTGCTGTCAAAATTTTTAGCTTATCATCTGTTGTCAAAATTTTTTCTGATATGAGTCATTGTACTATTTTCATTCTCCTTTTACTCTGTTTAAAATCTATACCATCTATGAATAAATCTAAGCAAATTGTTGGGTGTTAAAATGCTCAGGAGTTCGTCTCTCAACACCAAAAGTCTCATACCTAATTCTGGCAAGTTCCGCTTTATCCCCTTCAAAACAGGATGGAAAATCTTTACTATTTCCCCAAGCAAATAATTTCAATATACATGCTTATTTTTGCATCCAAACCTTTGCTTTTTTCATTCTTTTTTTTATTGTATCTGCATATTTTATGCATTTCTACCTTTTCTATTTTCGTGAACTGCAGACAACTTAAGGCAAACTGATTTCCTTCTCACAATTTCTGCTACCGATACTCTTTTTTTATTTTCCTCACTTGACCTGCTCTGGTGAACATTTCCGTATTACTAACTTTGCACTGAAACTAGTATGTACATTTGTAATCTCCCTTTATTCATGTCCGATTCAATAATTTCCCACTCATTAACATACATACGTACGTATTTTTCTGCTATTTGACATGTTTATTTTCTCTCATTACAGATTGCTTCCGGTTAAAGAGAATTTCCTTTGTCGTCAAGTTTTCAAGGTAAGTGCTGAATGATTTGCATTTTCTGCTATTCACCCTTTAAAGCCCAACCAACTAAACGGATTTCAACCACTGTCGGGACACAGATAAAAAAAGGCAAGATAAAAATAAAAATTGAAGGAAATTATAATGAAAAAAGTTTGAAAAATGAAGGTATTGATACATATACTTTTGCTTATAGTTAAGCTGAAAAGGGTTTCTAGCAAAGAATGTGGCGGAAGGAAACCACTTAAATCAACAGTTTTTTATAAACTTAATTAAATTGAGTGCAAGCAAAAAGAAATCAGAACAATCGCTGTCAGCAGATGAGGCATGCGATTGACATTAATTGCTTATGAAAGCCAAAGTACTTGGCTAGTAGTTATATTTAGAAATACTTAAGTATATGTAAATGTGTATAATTTTTCTCAAAGAACGTTTTGGATGGATATAATATAATCGTTAGGTATAAACTTAGGTATACACTTAGGCCTTGATTGTGATAAATTATGGAAGTACATTTTTAATACTTTTAGTTTTTATGCATTACATATTCTTGGTCTTTACTGCTTACTACTAGTAATGCTTTTGAAGAAAGTGCGACTGATTTAAGTTATATTTATTTGCAAATTGCACACATCTATATATGTATTTCTTCTTTTATTAAAATTTTTTTAATAAGGCACATTTTGTGCATTTTTTGAGTTGTAGTTTCTTATTGTTTTATTGTGTTAAAAAGCGTTTAGAAAGTGATTTAGAACGCAAATAATGATTTCAAAAGGGAAGCTATATATGTGTGAAAAAATAATACAGGCATAATTAAAAAGAAAAAGTAATATAAAAAATATAAAAAATATTAATTTTTTATTCGGTAGAGCCCAAGCACATCCATTGGCAACAAGGAAATATATTTTTGTATCGAAATGACAACATCGTGCGACAGTGAATTTTACACACAAAAAATTAATATGCTCGCAAACCCCCCCTATAATAAAACTTTTTTTTTTTCTCTTTGACGTCAGATATGATTGAATCATAAAATTATTAATAAAATTCAGTGCAAAGTAGAAACATAGCTTGGGTATCAAATGAAATGGAAAATTCTGTAGAATTAAAAAAGTTTAATTATTTTTGTGCAAAGGCAAGCCTAAGTCCTATGGATCACCCTATATATAGACATCTTTATAGGTATATGCATTTATCGCCAAGTTTATCTCAATATACATCAAAAACGGCATCTTTATTTCGATATATTTGGCTTCGATATACAATTTATCTATATATTTAGCGTCTACCATGTGTAAATTATTGCTAATTTTCCGCAACATTTTTTTTTTATTAACAACAAATAATTCATTATCGTTATTTTTTTTATACATATCTTTATAATATACACATATATACATATGTATGTATATTGATATTCATCGTGGCGAACGATATATATTAGGGCGGTGTAATTTGTTCGGAGCAAAATTTTCAAAGAAAGTGTATAGCAAATTCAACTTTTAAGATTAATTCTAAGCAACAATGGTGAACAAACTATATACCATATAAAAGACATTTGACCCTCCAAATTTTCAAAAGAAAAAGTAGTATATTGTATGAAGAAAACACAAAATGTTGTAAATGGTAAATTAATTTAGTTCAGAAAAAATGATTAAACGCTGATTTTTTTTTAATTTTTTTTGTATAAATGTAGTTTGTACACCACTTTTGTTTAGAACCGAACGTTGAATTTTAAAATGACATACACTTTTTTCGAAATTAAATTACTCCGCCCTAATATACATACATAAAACTTATTTTTATATCGAAGAAAACCGCAACTCCTTCGGGGGAAAAAATCTAAAAAATCAACGGTAATTTTTGGCCACTTCAAACTTGCACATTATTGCACTACAATTGAATAGCTATAAAACTAGACTCAAAAAATTTTAACACTTCTGAGAAAAAATTTTGAAATGCGGATGAAAATTTGATGATTTTTGTTCAGTGTTCTGCAAAGTTTCCAGCTTGAAATTGTTTGGCGTTTGCTATAGGCGGTATACACGGTGCGTCTGGATCGCGAGTCGGTTTGGATGTGTTAGTGAAAATAAATATGTTTATGTTAGTTACACCGACATGACTCTGCATAACTCTACTGTTTGCGGCCGAAAGGCGAGTTAACACATACCCAGATGACTCGCGAGTCAGACGCAACGCCTATGGCGCCTATTCGGGAATGAACCGTAATTTAATTAAAAAATTTCAAAAATTAATAAATAAGTATTAGTGAAAAAATATCATTTCAATATTTTTAATATACCTGGCCAAAAAGCTCCAAATACAATAGCATTAAACTTTCAACCTTGACCTAAGAAAAAATATGTAATATCATTTTTAATTTAGTCCAAAATGATATGTCCAACACGGTACGTACATGGCGTATGAGTTACTCAGATGAGATTAGAATGTTACTCATACGCCGTGTACATACGTACGTTGGATTTTAACTTTTCCATGATAAATGGTAGATCCAATATGGATCTATTTAGAATTTTTAAAATGTGGCACCAGATTTGAGTCCAGCATTCATCGTAAAAATAGTTCAAGACTCTTTGAGAGCTTTTTCTTATTGCTGCATTCCCTATTTATTTACCTATGCATGATAGCAATTAGTGTGCCAAAAAGTATGAATTGGCGTCAGTGCTTTTTACCCCCCTTTTATTAGCTCGGGATGTAGCTATGTAATATTGATGCGCCTAAAAGATGCAGCGATTTCTATTCTCAAGTTACATACCTGATAACAGTACGAATGGAAATTATAAAAGCGAGGCTTTAGTTTTTAAACTATAATTTTATTTTCATTACAAACATGTTCAGTCCTATGAGAATTTATCTAATGATGTTTGCAAGAATTTCTGAAAGTTTACAGTTTCAAGTCGGCTGTATAGCTAAAGTGTGAATGATTTTGATAAGAAATCACGAAAAGAAATAATTTTCTAAGCAAACGAGAATAACAAGAAATAACCACACTACTATTTATAAATCCACTTTTTCTCTCTCCTCCATAACTGCTTTAAAAGAAGCGCAAAAGCTGCAAACCAAGCATACGATTTTCATCTTCTGAATTTTGGAAAAACTCCACAAAAAATTTACGACTGAAATATTGCATTATCACTGGTCATTCTCACCATATTTTAACACTCTATTCATCTTTTATCTACAACTGTGTACATTTCAACAGCCCATTTTATGCTCTACTTTAGCTGCGTGCCTCTTTCATCTTTCATTTCTTTTTGTCTACGAATATTTGGATTTTAAAAAAGGCAAAAGTTTCCTTCTAACTTATTGAAAAAGTTAGCAACATTTGTGACACTGACAGACATTAGCCTTATAAGATTTTGGATTAAATTCAATTCGTGGACAAAAGAGATAAATGTGGCGTTGTGTATTTGCAAGATTCTTTGGAAAATTTAAGTTGCATTGTAATCCAAAAAGTTGCGAAGAAGTTGTAGAAAGTTTCACACAAGTGCCACTGAAATTAGAATTAAGCTCGCAGGCTAATTTGGCAACGATTGAGAATACTGCGAGCAGAGAATGTATTTTCTTTTGTTTCTTTTAACTTTTTGTGTTGGCATTTTAGCGCAATTTAGAATGAGATTGAGTCATTTGAGGAAACTTTGTTAATAAGCAAAAATATATACAAAGCTTTAATTTTTTTAAATTATGAATGTTGAAAATAAAATACGCTAGTAAAATTAAATTAAAGTATTTGAAAACATTAGTTACAATAAAAAAAAATTTTTCTCATACAGGTGCATGAAATTATGCTACGAAGTGTTCTCGTCTTTCGAATTCTTTAGTGCATACTAAAAGCAGTACAGGGAACAAATAACATCACTTCTCAAATGAATTTATAAAATAAAATTGCGCTTAAATCCCCACCTAATCCTCAATGTTCCTCTACCTCATGCCTTACTCACTCTAAACTCGTTCTATCTCTGTAACTACTGACCTATGGCAATAGGTGCAATGGACTTCTTACGGGTATTATTTGTTTAATTCGCAAGGTAGCTGAAGCACTTTGAGTCTGTACCTCCAATTACCGAATTTACGGGGCAAAAGGCGACGATTGACTTTAAGCAAATATCGTTAATATGATCGAATCGTATTCCTACAATTGTTGAATACAGGGCAGAAACCATGTTGTAGTGGTATCTGAATCATTAAATTATATAATTACGGTTTTGCCGATGCTTTCCCAGCATGTAATATTTTTCTTTTTCATCATGGCACCGAAAGTCACCCACTACCGTTGCCACAGAAGCCTCGCTTTGAAGGTGAAACAATGCATTTGAAGGCCAGATGAGAAGATGTTGAGTTGACTCCACGTCATCGTCTTATAAGCAGTTGGTAGCAAACTCCTTTGAAAGCCCATTGCAAGTATTACTATTTGACAGTGCTCGGGCAAAATCAATAAGGATAATTGCCACCTGGATAGTCTACGGAACTCTTTTCACTACCTTCGATCCACATGTGCCCAAATTAACCTTGCAACTTAGTATGCTGATTACTAAGCCGACTTTTGGCTCACTTCTTCAGGGGCAGTCTTAATAAATATTCACCACTTTAAAGGGTGTCATGCTGTTAAGAAACCAGTCAGTAGTTTCCTTAATGACAAATTCCCCACGCGGTATACATTGCAGTGATTAGAAAGCCTTAACTTCAGAGTGCACCATCGGTGGGAGCTACACCTAGGTCTGGTTCCGCAGAGTAAAACTAAACCAGTCATTACCTGACGGGTAAGCACGTACACCGGTCGCATCTGGCTGGAAAGAACTGAATTTGTTTTGAAGCATGACGAAGTGCTGGTAGTTTAAATTAAACTTTAAGCCGGCCTAAGTACTTAAGAGATTTTGCACATAAGTGATTTTGTACTTAGTATTTGTGTAATAAAATTTTTATAAAATTTTTTGAAAAACTCCGATTTTAATTTGTTCAAGTGTAGTTCTTTAAAAAAAACAAAAAATAAAGGG